ATATTGTCTGGATTTCCTGAACCCTAGGCATAAGATATTATTCTGAACTCTGAGATAAGAAACAATATATAGGGTTGGGGGTAGCTCAGTTGGTAGAATACTTGCCTAGCATACACAGAACAGAGCCCTGAATTTGATTCCCAACACTACATAAGGTGATGCACACCTGTAAATCCCAGCACTCCAGAGGTAGAGGCAAGACCAGAAGGTTAAGGTTATCCTCTACTACATAACAAATTGAGGCCAGCCTGGGCTACATGAGACCCTGTCTATAAAGTAAAATACAACAGATAACATAAGAAGACTCAAAGGTAAACAAATGCTGCTGTTTTCAGGTATAAATTGTAAAAACAACTAAGATTACTGCATTCAAATAACTAAGTCCAAGCTTGAACGTGCTTATAGAACTGGAGGCTCTCATGGGTGCTGCTTGTTCCTCCCCTGGATCCCACAGTGCAGAAAAAGAGCAGCATCTGAGAGATGCCTCTGACCTTCACACAAGTGCTGTGGTACTCACACGTGAACATGATAATAATAATAATAATAATAATAATAATAATAATATAAATACATAATAATAATAAATAATGCAGTAATGATAAATAGCTCTTTTGTTTACTCATGTTTTGAAGACGGCTCTTACTATATAGCCCTGGTATGCCTGGAACTTTCTAATAAGACCAGGCTTGCTAAGAACTCACAGAGATCAACCTGCATCTGCCTCCCAAGTTTTGGGATTGAAGGTGTGAGCCACTATGGGCCAGGGCCCATAAGTGGCCTTTTAAAAGGCTACTTCCCTGTATGATTCCAGCAAAATCCACTTCTGAAAAAGGCAAACTCATGCAGAAGACCAGCATTGCCAGGGCTAGGGGCAGATAGGGAATATAGTGGAGCAGGATGTAAAGGACAGTGAGCCTTCTGTGTGTTGTCGTGGTGTGAGGACACAACCTTATCTGTTTGTCCAAACCCATATAATGTACAACACGAAATGACCGTGTATAGACTATGGACTTGCTAATGAGACACAGCTCAGGTCTTCAGTTGTAACAGATGCACTGTTCTGTCATGGGACACAGGATGGCACGGAGGGGGGTGAGACACATAGAAGCCTCTGTACTTCCTATTCAATTTTGGTATGGACAAAAAAATACTCTTTTTTTTAAACCTCTGAGTGTGTCGTGTGTGTGTGTGTGTGTGTGTGTGTTGCCCACATGGGCCAGAAGGGGGCATCAGATCCCCGGGACCTAAAGTCATAGTGGTTGTAAAGTCACCACTGTGAGCACTGGGAACCAAACTCAGTCCCTCTGCAAGAATTGTATGCACTATTAACCATGAGCCATCTCCCCAAAATACTTTAAGAAAATCAATTTAAATTTTTCTAATTTTAAAAAGAATTGTAAAGATGTAGGAAATGTTAGGACACAGGAGAAGTTAACAAGGTCTTGAGAGATGAGCTACAATGTTCCTTGGCACACTGAGAGAAGATATTGGCAGGAGTGGGTCCGGGACAGTGAAGCGGCCCATCCTGGAACAGCCAATGGGAGAACACCAGCAAGGTTTTTTATGTACATGAGTGTTTTACCTATATGTATGTTTCTGTACCACATGTGCATCTAGTGTCCATGGAGTCTAGAAGACACCACGGGGTCCCCTGGAACAAAACTAGAGACAGCTGGGAGCAGCCACCATGTGGATGTTGGGAGTCAAAGTCAGGACCTCTGAAAGAGCAGCCAGTACGGCTGAGCAATCTCACCAGTCCCAATTCTCTTAGGACAAAGTCTCGTGTATCTCAGCCAGCCTCAAACTCACCCTTTAACCTTGAACTTCTGACCCTTCTGCCTCTGCTTCCTGGGTGTTGAAATTACAGATGAGCATTCCCACGCTTAGCATTGGGGACCAAGCCCATGGTAGACAAGCTGGCTACCGACTGAGCAACGTCCCCAGTGCCTGGCAGTGAGTTTTAAAAACAATCCAGAAATCAATCAGGTTTTCTTGTCGCCGCTGAGTTAGCTCGCTGCAGAAATGTCCCTTGCCTGAATAGCCCTTCACAGGCCCACTCTGAACAAGTGCACTTGCAGCCGGGCTTCCACACCAGTTTTTCACGCCTTCCCACACCCAGCTTTTAATGGGCACCACAGACTTTGTGACAGTTAATTCCAAGGCTCCTGGGTTTTCTGGGACAGCCGTTGGCATGTAGGGTCTTAGCTACACGTGGCATTTTAAAATAAAAAGATGTCTTTGGGAACCTGTGTTTATAGGAAACTTGAATGCTCCTACTTGCCCCTATACTAACATCTTGCTTCAGTGTGGCTGTTGTTAACAGTTCACGATCCAGGACCAGTCCTCACCCTGAGTGAACCTAGAGTGTGCTGAGAACCACTCAGCTAAATTCAGGTGCAGCAAACACAATTCACAGCCCAGTTGCTGCACACTGCTCGCCCCCATCTGTGCTCTATGCACTAGAATTCAGTTCGCGAGCTTCAGGCAAGGGGCTGGAGGTTGAAATACACAAACACACACAGAGACAGACAGACAGAGCCACAGACCTCTAATCAATGGTAAGAAGCCCTTTATTCAATAGCACCATGGAGGCTTATATACCCAACAGTCAAGTGGGCCAACAGGTGAAAACCTTATCCTCTGATACTCAAGGCAAGGCACAGGTTTTAGTAGCTCTAATCAGAAGGCTCTAGCAGGGAAGAGCAGCTGAAAGCCAGGACTCCAAATGGTCCCAACACCCAGTATCAATGCACTGTAGCTTAAAGCTGAAGTTCACATCAGGGCTCTGCCCTGTAATTTTGTACTCTGAGTTTTGACAAATACACGGTGACATGTGTCCACCTTAACCATGTCTACGGAATGGTTTCACTGCCCTAACATAACCGTGTCCCACCCTTTCACCCTCCACACCCCCACCAACTTAGCAGCCTGTTTTCTTTCTCCATGGCTTCTCCTTTTCCAGTATGTAGCCTTTTGGTTTCTGCTTACTTCGCTGAGGTGTTTAGGTTTCTTCCATGACTTTTCTTGTTGTCTGGCAGGTCAGTATTCCTCGGCGTGAATACGCTGTAGCTTATTCCTTCACTTATCGAAAGGCCTCCTGCTTGCTTCCCCTGAGCGCATCTAGAGTGTGTTCAGAGCCACTCAACTGACTGAAGTGCAGCTTGTGTTCCTAACTACAGCACAACACGCTCCTGGATTTAAGAATAAATTCAGAGGCTTGAGGCTGTGTGTCGGACAGATGGTAGGTTTGCCTAGCATAATGAAGCCCTTGGTTCAGTCCCCAGAAATGCATAAATCAGATGTGTGCTACAAGCCTGTAATCCTAGCACTGGGGAGGTGGAGGCAGGGTAATCAGAACCCAAGGTCATCTTCTGCTACATACTGAGTTGGGGGTCAACCTGGGTATGTGAGACTTTGTCAAAAAAAAAAAACACAACTTACAAGTACAAAGTAGAGCTGAGTCCCTTTGATTCTATCACACAGTTGATTAAATGATAGAGTTGGCCTGCTCCTCCAGGACCTCCAATGGATTTGCCTGTGACCGACTGCAAGTCCCCCCCACCATTGCTCTCACCAGTATCTGGGGTCACAAGGGGAGCCTGCTCTGAACAGGGTTTTTTGGATTAGATCATTCCCATTCACACACTCACTGCCTTGCTCCAGCTCAGTCTCCTCAGGCCATCAGGTGAGTCTGGCAGTTTGAATGTAATCGGCCCCCATAAGCTCACAGCATTATGCGGAGGTGTGGCTTTATTCAAGTGGGTAGGGCCTTGTTGGAGAAAGTATGTCACTGTGGGGGCAGGTTTTGAGATTGCCTACGCTCAGGGTTCCGTCCAGGGTCTCAGTCGACTTCCTGTTGCTTGCAAGATGTAGGACTCTCACCAGCACCACGTCTGCCTGCACACCGCCATGCTCCCTGCCATGATGATAAAGGACTGAACCTCTGAACTGCAAGCCACCACCTCAGTTTAATGTTTTCCTTTATAAGAGCTGCCATGGTCATGGTGTCCCTTCACTGCAATAGAAACCCTAAGGGAGTGAACAAGTAGAGACCCAAGTGCCCTGCCTGACTCTCTCAGTCCTTCACCTCCTCACATTCCACCTGCAGGGAAGCCCCGCTCCACGTCCCACCCCACACAGCTCCTGAGATCACGCCATGTACTCCCAGGTGACACAAACCTGGCAGCAGTAGACGCTCCGTGACGTTTGCTGAAGGGATAAAGGAGCAAGTCCGATGGCTCCTGTCCCTCCTCAGGATCCACAGAAGCCAGGGGCAGAGACATGAGGTCCCCAAGCCTGGAAACTGCACCATTCCCTCCTTTCCCACGGTCTTGTCTCCAGGGAGCAGAAACTGATCTTTTCCGTTTTTTCTGTCTCCTCCTGAATGCTGTGTTCCAAATCACCCCTACTCCAGGGCTGGTGGTACAGTTCAGTGATGCAGGGCTTAGATGCTGTATTCCAAATCACCCCTCCTCTGGGGCTGGCGATAAGGTTCAGGGTACAAGGCTTGCCTAGCGTATATGAAGCTCCGAGTCCCATTCCCAACACCACATAAAACCAAGATGGTGGCACATGCTAGTAACTGCAGGATCAGACGTTCAGTCATTCTCAGCTGCCTAGTGTGTTCAAGGCCCGCCTGGTGTGCCTGAGACCCAGCCCCCCCCCCAAAAAAAAAAGTCAGGGCAGAAAGACGGCTCAGTGGATAAGGGCATTGCCTCTCTGGAGGATGGTCTGAGTGAAATCTCTGGAACCAACGTGGTAGGAGAGAACTAACTCATACAGAAAGTCTTCTGACCTGTGTATACACACACACACACACACACACACACACGCACGCACGTGCGCGCGTGCGCACACACACACACACGCATGTGCGCGCGCACACACACACACACACGTGCGCGCGCACACACACACACACACACACACGCAGATGGGGGGGTAGATGGATGGGCGGGCGGGTAGGTGGGTGGTTGGATGGATGGACCGACAGATGGATGGATGGTGTATATTTATATATTTATATATTGCCCCAGTCCAGCCAGTATCTAGGCTGAAGGGCTTCCAGGACAGGAGCATCCCAGCTGGGAACCTCCCAGTTCCCAGACACAGCAGCTGCTCCCTCTGGTGGCAAAACTGGGAAGTGCTTGGACATCCGATAGTCATCCTCTGGGAAGGCAGCTGCAGAAAGCTATGCTAGGGAGCTCCTGAAGCACCGCCTGAGCCTAGGAAGAGACAAGACGATGAGCAGTGAGCGAGGAAAGGAGTCTGGCCTGAATTCCACCCCAGCCAGGGACCTCCTGTCCTGAGACTTTTGGTCCCAGCCTCTAACCATAAGATTGGTCAGGGAGTCTTCTTAGTTAGTTGAGCAAAGCCTGGCTGGGAGACCCCAGATTGAAAAGGGGGCACTGCTTTTGCCAAGAAAACAGAGTCCTCCAAGGACAGGCAGCCAACCCTGGCACCAACTAGTCCCGTCCCAATAATACCAGGTAGCATGTCTGCCGCCCACACTGTCCTTGTCTTACCTGACAGCCGTCCTGCAGGTTGATGCAGAAAAGGAGGCAGAAAGTGATGGCCGCAGAAAAAGCATAGCTCCCTCAGGCCACTTGCCCTGTGCCTCATCTATTATTTCTAATTCCACAACCAAGGGAGACCTGTGCTTTCTCAGCTGGTCCCGTGTCTGTCAGAGCCAAGATGCCTTAGATGTGGCTCAGCTGGAGTGGGGAATGGCCTAGGGCAAATAAGGCAAGCCCTGAGGACCAGACACTACCTCAGATAACCCTGCTGGGTGGCCCTGGGCAGATCCCTCACCATCTCTGAACCACCAAGTCTCACCAGCAAAAGAAAAGTAGCTCTCCTGACTCAGGTGTGAGACTAAAGACAATATATGCCCATTCTAGCACAGAGCATCCAGGCGCAGAAAGGGACCCTGCCCTGGTGGTGAGAGGGACCTGGTGATGGATCTCTAGTGCTGCTCAGCGACTCCAGAGCAAGCAGAGAGAAGGACCACACTCTGTCCACACTCACTCACTCCCATGCTCTGGGGGATACAAGCTGTTTACGTGTTCACTGATCAAGGGCCTCATAACTGAGCTTGAAATCAGGGCATCCAGCCTCAAGGAAGCCTTGGGATGACTGCAGCCCTGGCCTGCACGTTGATCTTGACCTCATGAGAGATCTTGAGTCAGAACCACCCCCACTAAGCTGCTCCTGAACTCCTGACCACTACAACCGATGAGGTCATGAGAGTAAGTTTTAAAAAAAAGTGACTAATACACTTTAAACTTAGCTTTTGGTTTAGCAGTTGTTTGGGGAGCTAGCTGCCCCATTTCCATAGTCTTGGCCCCGCAGATTACACACTGAAGGGTGCCCAGGTCCTCTGAACCATGCCAAGAAGGAAAGAATAATAAAACACATTTTAAACTAATGTTTATTGAGGACCTGTCACCTGCTGCCAGCGACCCGCCAGGCATGGCGCTGAGGATGCTGCATTGGTCTTCCTGGTACAACCTGCCAGACCATAGTCTGTCACCATCCTCATATAATCCTAAAAGGGAAAATTAAAAGGACAGAGGCTGAGTGACCTACTCAAGGTCTGCGCAGGAAAAGTAGCCGAACTGGGGCCTTATCAAACTCCATTATCCAGAACCTAGCCAGGATGTTACATGACTCCAAAGTGTACAACCACTATTCATTCTCTACCCCGCCACACTGTCACACAGCCTGTATGGCCACCAACCACTCCCTTCCCATGACAGGAAAATAAATCCCATCCAACATATTGTCCCTTAGCCAAGGCAGACCCCTCCCCACCCACACACCCTCTGTTCCTATTCCTGCAACAAGTGAGTCCACTCTTCACCACCCTGTGCTGGCCACAGAGCATCTTCAGACTCCAAGGACCTTTCATGCTGTCCCTGTCCCCTTCTCCCTTTTTTTCACAGGTGGAAACAGAAGCCCAGAGAGGTGTTGTGTATCGAAAGACACAGAGTGGGGACAGTCAGATCTCCGGACTCTCAATTAACCTGCCTTTCCCGACGCATCACCATCCCAAAGCCCATGGCAGACTCTACCCCCACCTCCACACACTTGATATTGGAATTTGAGGCCAAACTCCCCAGCTACCTCCCCTGGCCCACCCCTGGGAGCCAGCCTGGGAGTGGGCTTATCTGCACCTGTAATGTGCCAGACCACCATGATTAATGGGCTGTGATTATCTTATCTCCCAGGAGAGCAGTTCAGGAGTAGGGGTGGTGGCAGGCAGGTGAATACAATCAACCAGACAGCACCTGAGAGCTCCATTGAGTGGGGGTGGGGCAGAAGCAGGAGGTTAGGGTCCCAAAGGACTCTGTGCCCAGTGGCCTCTTGCACTCCCACTTGGGTGCTAGGCACCCAGGACTATGTCTGGCACTTCACAAGGGCTCCATCTTCATTACCCATCATTCTTGCTGCCGCTGCTCCTTCTTGGAGAAACCACATACGTTTAGCCAAGAGAGTGGCCAGAAACTCAGCTGTTTCCCGTAGCTTCTTGCCTCACCTGCAGACAGAGTTCGGAACCTGGAAGTTGTCTTGTCAAGCTGACTTGCTTTCTGTGTTACTTTACCGAATAACCTGAGGCTCAGGGGTGAGGGTCTGTCTAGGGGAGGCTGTAGCAAATCCCTTCACACATGACAGCTCTCATCATTCAGGAGCATGGGCTCTGAGGTAGCAAAGGGAGGTCAGACACCCAGCTCTTACCAAGGGCCCGATGTTGAAGTGTGCTCTACTCACTGAGCCCATCCCCAAACCCAGTCTTGGCTTTGGAGACAAAGAGGCCAGAGTCATCAAGGCTGGGGCCAAGGAAAGATGGCTGAACATTCTGCTCTGCCCAAGACATTCTGAGGTCACTCATGGCCCAGGTGGGTGGCTACTAGGACTGAAGTGTCCTGTTAGGACAGTAAGTTATTTGGTCTCTACTCTAAAGAAATAAAGTTTTATACTTTAACCTTGAGCAAGTGTCCATCCTGTCTGAGGTCAGACTGTAACTCAGTCAGGACTGTGTAGGACCCAGGCTCAGAACCCCATGGCTGGGTTGGCTGAAGGACCCCATCATTCTCTTCCCTAGAAGCATGTGGTCACTCTGCAGGGGAAGGAAAGATGAAGATGGATGAAGACAATGGTGATTAATGAAGACAGCAGGGGGTTACAAGGAAAACACAGGCTTTCGGGCGAATAAATTGAATACAAAAAGAATAGTTGACTTAATGAGAAGACAGAAAAATGCATGAAAGGCTCAAGGGGGAGGAGAGTTGAAAGGAAAATCTGAAGATGTTGAAAAGGAAGGAAGTAAGAATAGATGGATACAGGGAGGAGCAGAAGAGGTGAATATCAGAATTGCGCTGGCTGTCATGTCAAACCCTTTGACAGGGTATGGCACACAGGGAGCCCAGCCAGATGTTATTCCAGAAGGACATACAGAGTAACTCTTTGGAGCCTGAGGAAGCTGGTTCCCATCCCCCACCCCAAAGCCATTCCCAGGAGCACACCTCCCATTTGCTGTCTCTCCCCCTTCCCACCACCCTTTCCCAGAGGGCAAAGGGCAGGACTGCTGAGGGACTCGCTCTGCTATCAGCCCCATTTCTCCGAGCCCTGTTTATTCTGAGTCAGCAATTAACAGAGCTCCTTCCCAGATCAATTAATAGTGGGGACCTCCGAGGGCACAGCCAGGTTAGTCACTGATAAACAATGGGAAAGAGATAGAGATGACTCCCTAGCCCGTGAGCCACCCCTCCTATCTCTCCAAGAAGCCCAGGTCCCATCAGAGTACAGAAAGGTTGTCAGGATGTGGAGCTGGAAAACCCTGCCTCAAGCTGGGGGGAGAGGACTGAGTCCCTAATTGGTTTCCCTTTGTGGAGGGGGGGGGCGCTCTGATGAAGATCCCTGGCCTCAACAAGAGCCAGGCTCAGGTTCATTAGCTGGCCATCGACCAGTAGCTACTGAGCTCCTTCAGCATTTTGAGACTCAGTCTCCCTCCTGCTCTGTGAAGCAGGGATGGGAAGGAAGCTCTCGTTACAAACCTCTGTGATGCTGAATGTGTCCGTGCGTGCCTATAGTCCCAGCTCCTGGGAAGCAGGAGGGCTTTGAGTTGAGTCCAGCCTGGGCTACATAGAAAAGCCCTGTCTCAGAAAGAAATACTTATATAATAACAAATCTTATAGTATCGATAAGTATACATAATTAAAAGTATTTTAAATGGCTCTGCCTGTATCAAATAGTTACATCATACAGAGCCCAGTGCTGGGCCTCAGTAAGACTTATATGCCATTTTAAATGGTTAGATTGTGTTAGATGATTCTCATCTCCCTAAAACACAATTACATTAAAACTCAGTTCCTCGGTAGCCCCAGACACGCATGGCTGATGGTCACTGACTTGGACTGGCTGTAGCCCCGGACACACATGGTTGATGGTCACTGACTTGGAATGACTGTAGCCCCAGACACACGTGGTTGGTGGTCACTGACTTGGAATGGC